GAGCAGAAGGGGAACCCCATGGAGCCAAGGACGTTATCCAGGGAACTGACCCCAGAAGGAAGGGAGGTGTGGGGCAAGGGCTTTCTAAGGTTTGGTAACGTAACGCTTTTCACCGTCCCACTGTGTCTGTGTTGTTTTTGTTGCTAGTGTTTGAATTCAAGTGGTCTTGTTTTCTTCCCCTAAGAAGTCTGCCTTTTGCCCCTGACTATAATGGGTGAGCCACCCCTCTTGTCACTATCTCCATTCCTGAGCGTTTTGCTTCATTTCTCCTTCCCAGCACGGGGAGGAAGGGGTGAGTGAGCAGCTGCGTGGTGCAAAGTTGCCCTCTGGGCTCAAATCAGGGCCAAATTTGAGGATGGTATCCACCTAAACAGGCCAGAAAGTGAAAATCCACCAGGAGCTACGGCGAGTTGATGTCACGTTTTTAAATGTTTGGAAATGGCACGGGACATCGTGTTGGATTTGTTGAGATTTGTAACATTGGCGCAACAGGGGGGTTGAATCCCTGCACAGACCCCTCCTTGTTGCAGCGTGAGCATGTCGAGCCCCAGAGGGCTTTGACCTGCTGTCAAAGATCAAGAAGACTTTTCCTCCTTCCATGGGAGCAGATAGATTTTTGAGAGCTCTTTGTAGTTCGTTGAATACGAGTCTGGGAACTAATGTTCTGATTAAACACCTCCACCCAGCATCATGGGGGGTTCCTCATACAGTGGGTGAAGCGGTGGAGGGTCAGATCTACACATGGGTCAGGGGCTGCATTGGCCCCCCGCCTCCCGCTGCAGGAATGAGCCCAGGCAGAGGCGCTGTGAAACAAACATCGAACCTTTAATGAACTAAGGTGGAGAGAGCAGGGAGAGAGCTGGGGCTGGAGCGGGCGGGCGCAGGCAGTGTGTGGCGGGGATCTGGCTCCACGTCTCCTCTGCCCGCCTGTCTGAAGGGGTCGAGTTGCGGGCGGAACTCTGCCCCATGGCGTCCCGCAGGGTTCTGGCTCGCTTGGCGGGCATGTTGTTGCCATCGGATGCTCTCCGCTTGCTGCTGCCCGCCTGTTGCCTGCTGCAGCCTACCGCCACGCCATCCCCATCTGGCTTCGCCTCCCGCGGGGTTTTTGAGTGTTTTCCCACCCGTTGCTCCACCATCTTCCTCCTCTTGGGTGGGATGTTGTCCCGCAGGGAGGTCTCTTGTTCCCTGGGGCCCCTGGCCGGCACACGGCGCTTGGCCTGCTTGCCGCGCAGCCGGCTCAATGCAGGCAGCCCCCGGTAGGTGATGGCGCCCAAGGGCAGCGGCACGTGGGTCAAACCCACCCGGGGCTGCCTCCGCGGCACCTCCTCCGCCAGCTGTGCCGTGCGGTGCGGGTGACAGCGGGAGGGACGCGGGGGGCTGGACAGTGGACTCAGCAGTGGGATCCGCAGCGGGACACTGTCCAGGAGTTGCTGCAGGGGATCCTTCCTTGGGCTCTTTGAGGTCTCCTCTGCCTTCCTCGGAGGACTCTCCGCAGAGCTCTCCTCGACAGTCTCCGAGGGCCTCGGTGGCAGCCAGGTGGGCAGTTCTGCCGCCATCCCGCCCTGCTGCGCCGTGGGGTCCTGCGAGGGGGAGGCCGGCACCCCCCAGAAGGGGTCGGCGTCCCCCAGCATCGCGGCTGCCAAGCGGTCCTTGGGCCAGTCGCCCTGCGCCCCGTGCCCGAAGAAGTCGGGGGCTTCGCTGGAGGGGTCGGTGCTGGCAAGGCTGTCGAGGACATCGGGGAAGATCATTTCACCTTCCACCAGCATCACTGCCACTGCTGCCTGCTCGTTATTGCAGCCAGCCTCTGCCCTGTCCTCAGAGAGGTGGGGGAGCTCCCGTTAAGGGAGGTGGTCAGGCTGGGGACATCAGGGACACTGGGGACGGTGTCCTCGCCATCCCCCAGCCCTGCCGCCACGGCTCGCTCCTTGGGGCAGCGGCCCCCCGCCAAATACCTGCAGAGGTCAGGGAGCTCCTCGAGGACATCAGCAGGGAAGCTGGGTATACTGGGTGTTGAGCTGGTGTCTCCACTCTCCCCTAGATGTGCCACTGCTGCTTGGTCCTGAGGGCCATCATCCTCCACCGCATACATTGAGAGGTCAGGGAGCTCGTCAAGGCAGGCGGTGTTGGTGAGGCTGTTGGGGAAATCAAGGACATCAGGGACAGTGTCCTTACTGTTCCCCACCCCCACCAGCACCTGCTGCCACGTACTCAGAGAGGTCGGGGAGCTCACTGATGATGGCTGTTCGGTCTGGGACTTCAGGGACGGTGCCCTCGCTGTCCCCCAGCCTTGCCACCGCCGCCTGCTCCTTGGGGCTGCTGCCCTCTCCCAGGTAGGCAGAGAGGTCGGGGAGCTCTTGGAGGAAAGCAGTCACACCAGGGCTGTCGGGGACATGGCGGGTGGTGTCCTTGCTCTCCGCAGTGTTGAGCCAGGCGAGGAAATGGCTGGCGGTGGTGTCCTCTGCCTGCTCAGGAGAGTCCTCCGCGAAGGCATCGGGCTCCTGCTCGAGCAGGTCCACGGGCTTCAGCTGCACCAGCTGCCCCGGGGTCCCCATGGGCCCTGGCCCCCCCTGCCAGACGCTGGCCTGGGGCAGCTGGCAGGTGATGGGGGGCAGCTGGGCAGGCTCAGAGGCCGCCGGCAGCCCCGGGACAGAGCACAGCATGGCGGCAGTGACCGGTGGCGGCGCGGCTGCAGCACTGACGCTCTGACACCCCGTCGTCGGGTGGTTTGTTTCTGCCCCATTATGACATCACCCCTAACGACAGCCCGTAACCCGGGACCGGCTGTGAGCCGCTCCGCAGGCAATGGGCTTCTGGGCACTCCGGCCCCTCGCTCCACGGCTGCCCTCAGCCTTGGCTGAACCACAGCCCAGGTGTCACTGGGCCCTGTACCTACACCCTGTTGATGGCTGCTCGGAGCAAAACCAGCCTTGTGACTGCCGTGCAACTTTTCAGTGTTATTCGTCCTGGTGTAAAGCTCCCCAGATGCAGGCACCAACTGCCCTGGTACCAGCTCACGCAGGAGGAAGCTGAGGCACGGGCTGGCTAACGCCAGTGATGAAGCTGCAACTACTCTGTCCGTGCTGTATCTGCTGCCAGTCTGGAGGGTGGAAGGTGCCGCCTGGGGCCGAGGAGAGGAGAGTGGGGGGACAGGCAGCCGCGTCCTGACTCCTCGCTGGCTTCACTCCTGGCCAACTGCTTTTCCTCTGTGCCATAACATCCACACACCCATAAAATGCACCTCAGGCTAAAAGAAGGGTTAAGGCTGACATCAAAGCGAGCTGCACTGCAGCAGCTTTAGACCCGGCAGTTTGCTGATCGTTCCACTTTTGCAGGAGATCAGTGGCCAAGCGGGAGGCAAGACCCTCCAACGGCGCTGCAGCCCAGCCAGGGGCTCAGAGTCGCAGAGCAACACTCACCAGAGGCAACGCAAGACACAGCCACAGGTTTTGGTGTGACTTGAAACTAAACTCAACAGAGCAGTAAACACTCACCTCGATACACCTCAGACCAAATACTTCTTCATCATTCTTCGTGTATCCCCCGTGCAGAACTGATCCCGGCACAGCACTTCACCTCTAGAAGAACGTGTCTAATGATCTCAGCAAGGAACAAGGAGCTGAGATCCCCACGTCCTGGCCCTCGCTCTCCTTGAAATTATTCCACACACAGACACACACAAAATAAAAAAGATAACCAAAAGTTTGGAGAGCTTGCCGGCAGGGCACTCCACTGCCTGCCGGAGCGTGGTGTCACTTACGCCAGCTAGCGCTCTGTTCTGTTTCACAGGCCCTGGTTTATTTATTTTCTTAGTATGAAGAATCTGTTTGTGCTTCTACACTTCAACTTGCTGGATTGAGCAAAACTACCAGCTGGCCCCTCTTCTGGGGGAATGAGGCCCCCAACTTCTGTGGGTGAGAGGGGCCAGTCTGTGTTTCCAGCTCTCACCTGGGGTGTTGATCAGGACGGAGAGCTGGATGCCCCATCCCGCAGGAGCTTCCCTTTATCGTGGAGCTGGAGCACAGGGACAGAACCCTTCTGAGTGAGTCCTCGACACAGGTGCTCAAAACTAACCATTAGTGATGAACCCTAAATTCTCCCCAAACTGCATATATCTCCCCAAATCCCCTCAAAATCTTCCTGTGTTACAGCAAAATGCCCATATCCCTTTAAAAAGCGCTTATATCCTCCATATCAGCCCAAATACCCCCATATCTACCCAAATCACTCCCCATTACCCCCAAACCCCCATATCCCACCAGATCACCCCCAAAACAACCCATATTCCACAAATCACCCACCACCCCTTGTGCCCCAAGATCACCCTAACATCTCCACCAAACACCAGTCATATCCGTACAAATCACCCCCAAACCCACCCATATTGCCCAAAATCACCCCTAATATCCCTCACCCCCTCATATCCTCCCAAATCAACTCCACTGCCCCATATTCCCCTAAATCACCACCTCGTATTCCATTAACTACCCCATATCCACTGCATATATCATCCCCAAACCGACGCATATCCCACAAATCAACCCAAAACTTCCCCATACTAGAACCAAACCCCTCAATATACATTAAATCACCCCTAAAATCTACCCATATGCCCCAAAACCAATCATATGCCACCAAATCCCCCCCATAACCAGCCATATCACCCCAAATCACCCCATATATCCCCTAAGCCCCCATATCCCCTCAAATCACCCCAACCCCTTCCTTATGCCCCTAAATCACCCCAATATATCTCCCACAAATCTGGCCCCATACAACCCAACACCCCCATATACCACAAAATCACCTCAAAAACGGGCCATATCCTCCCAAATCAAAGCCCCATATACTTCCAACAACATATCTACCCCCAAATCCCCCCCAAAACAAGGCATATCCCACAAATCACCCCAACGTATCTCCCTGAAACACCCCCCATATATCCCACCAAATCACTACAGAAAAAGATATCCCACAAATCACACCCCCATTTCAGTGAGCCAGGGAGCAGGAGTCCAAAATCCTTCCCAGTCCATTAGCCAGAGAGCAAGAGTCCACCTTCCCTCCCTGAAATATGAGAGACCGGCAGAAGCCGCCCTGGCTCTCTGGCACCATTAGGCTAGGGATGAAAATTGGCCTCTGGCTCATGGCTAGGGAACAGAGGTGGCCTCTGGCTCCCTGACTGATTGGCTAGGGGAGGAAGTTGGCCTTTGGCTCTCTGGCTAATGCGCTAGGGATGGAAGGTGGCCTCTGGATGATGGGCTAGGCAAGGAAGGCAGCATCTGGGTCCCTGCTTAATAGATTAGGGGAAGAAGGTGGCTTCTGGCTTTCTGCCTAATGTCAAGGGAAGGAAGGTGACCTCTGGCTCTCTGGCTAATGACTTAGGCAAGACAGGCGGCTTCTGTCTCTCTTGCTAATGGGCTTGGGAAGAAGGTGACATCTGGGTCTCTGGCTAATGGGGTCAGGAAGGAAGTTTGCATCTGTCTCTGCTGCTCATGGGCTAGGAAGGGAAGGTGGCCTCTGGATTTATGGCTAATGGACTAGGGAAAGAAGGTGGCCTCTCTTTGATGTGCTACTCAAGGGATGTGGCCTCTCTCTCTGGTGCATGGTCTAGGGAAGGAAGGTGGCTTCTGTCTCTCTTGAAAATGGTCTGGGGAAGGAAGGTGGTTTCTGACTCACTGACAAATGAGCTAAGTAATAAGGTGGCCTCTGTTGTCTGGTGAATGGACAGGGAAATGAAGGTGGCCTCTTGGTCTCTGGCTAATAGGCAAGGAAAGGAAGGTGGCTTCTTACCTGATGGCAGATGTGCTAGGGAAGGAAGACGGCCTCTGGGTATCTGGCTAATGCACTAGGAAAGGAAGGCATCATCTGGCTCTGTGGCTAATAGGCTGGGGTTGGATGGTGGCCTCTGTCTTGCTGGGTAACAGGCTAAGAAAGGAATGTGGCTTCTGTCTTTCTAGCCAATGGGCTAAAGAAGGCCATGTGGCTGATGGCCTAATGAGGGAAAGTGGCCTCTGTCTCTTGCTATATCGCTAGGCTTGGAAGACGGCCTCTGTCTCTCTGGCTAATGGGCTAGGAAAGGATGGTGTCCTCTGGCTGTCTTGCTTCCCTAGCAATGGACTAGCCACCTCCTTCCCTAGCACAAGAGACACCTTCCTTCCCCAGACAGGCAACTGCCTCTCTGGTTAATTGGCTAAGAAGTAGGGTTGCCCCTGGCTCTCTTCATTCCCTAGCCCATTGAACAGAAAACCAGAGGGCACCTTCCTTCCCTAGCCCACCACCCAGAGAGTCAGAGGCCGCGTTAATTCCCTAACCAATGAGCCATATATCAAGAGGCCACCTGCTTTCCCTAGCCCATCAGCCAGAGAGACAGACACCCCCTTCCTTCCCTAACTCTTAGCCAGAGAGCATGAGTCCACCTTCCTTCCTTAGCAATTAGTCGCAGAGCCAGAGGTCACCTTCCCTGCCTGGCCCATTGGCCAGAGAGCCACAGGTCAACTTACTTCCCTGGCCCATCAGACGGACACACACACCTTTTTCCCTAGTCCATTATCGAGAGACAGAAGCCACCTTCCTTCCCTAGAGAATTAGCCAGGGAGCCAGAGGCCGCCTTCCTTCTCCAGCTACTAGTCAGAGTGCCAGAGGCCACCTTACCTCTTAGCAGGTCTCTCTGCTCCTTAGCCAGAAAGACAGAGGCAAACTTACTGACCTAACCCTGATCGGCCAGAGAGCCAGAAGCCACCTTCCTTACCAACCCCAATACCCAGTGATTTATAGGCCACACATTAGCCAGAGAGCCAGAGGCAACCCTCCTGCCCTAGGCCATTCGGAGGAGAGGCAGAATCCACATTTTTCCTCAGCCCATTAGCCAGAGAGACAGAGGCCATCTTCCTTCCCTTCGGGCTAATGGGCTAAGGAGGGAAGGTGCCCTCAGTCTGATGTGATAGTTAAGGATTGTGGCCTCTGTTGTTCTGGCTGACGGTCTGGGGAATGAAGGCATCATCTGTTTCTCTCGATTATGGGCTGGGCTAGGGCCAGAGGTCACCTTCCTTCCCTGGACCATTAGACAGAGTGACACAAGCCAACGTCTTTCACTAGGTCAGTATTCAGAGATCCAGATGCCCCCTTCATTCCACAGCCCATTAGCCAGAGAGCATGAGGCAAATTTCCTTTGCCAGCCCATTAGCAGGAGAGACAGAAGCCACCTTCCTTCCCTAGACCGTGAGCCAGAGAGAGAGAGGCCACATGCCTTAACCTGCACATCAAAGAGAGGCCACCTTCTTTCCCTAGTCTGTTAACCAGAGATCCAGAGGCCACCGTCCTTCCCTTGCCCATTAGCCAGGTAGCCAGAGGCCACCTTGTGTCCTAAGAATTAGTCAGAGAGCCAGAGATCAGCTTCCATCCCAGTCCATTAGCCAGAGAGCAAGAGACCACCTTCCTTCCCTAAAATATGAGAGACCGGCAGAAGCCGCCCTGGCTCTCTGGCACCATTAGGCTAGGGATAAAACTT